TTATATTATATTATAATATATTATATTATATTAATTGACATGAAGATGGCCATGCAGACTATTGGTATGTGAAGGTGTCTGATATTGCATTAGTAAATTTGGTTGCAAAATAAATACAGTTTCATATTGAAAGTTCATCTTTTTGTTTTATTTGTATACAGAATTGACTGATCTTTGTGTAATTGTAAGGCTTGATGATGTAGTTAATGTCAGTTTTAGCTCAAGGCATTTTAATGCTAAGCCTTTGTGTGTGTATTTGCATATTAGCTGTGTGTGAGTGTGTGTGTGTGTGTGTGATTACACCTAGTGTTGACCCATATCTGAAGTGTGCAGTGACATCCATCATCCATCGCGACCGCTGTGCATTTAAAAACACGTCCAAATCTACAGCGCTAAAGCAAGCACACATTTAAAACATTGGATTTGCGTTGCATTTACTTTTTTTTTTTCTACGTTATGTTTTGTACACGTATCTTGCGCTGATCTGAGGCCTGTCTTGTGACAGTCGTCTGATCCCGGATCTTTCTGAAGGTCTGCAGCTGACTGAACTGTGAGGGCTTTTAGAGCGTCACTGATCCTCTGCGTTTGTGTCCGCAGGCGCGGGCTGGGAACCTCTCTACAGGATCTTCAGTACTGTGCTATTATTGTTTAATTAGGCAGCTAATGTGATTAGCTTTAGTTGCACTGCCTCGGGATACAGAGTGTTTGAGTATTACAAATGACAGAATAAACATCTCTGTAGCATTGCTGAAAAAAATGAAAGACAGTTTTAGTTTAATGGGACGTGATATGCTTGGCTTTCAGTGTGTGTTTGTGGATTACAGAAGGAAAGACGAAAAGTGATATTTTGAATATTTTAATGTGTAAATTGTATATTTTGTATAATTGTAAATATTTAAATATTTGTAAAATATTGAAATGATTTCTTTTACAAATATTATATTTGAGATATTAAAAAAATTATTTAAATATTTTTATTACAATATTTTTTACATAATTTATATATATATATATATAATTTTTTATATTTACATTATATTTTGAATGTTTTAAAAAAATGTATATATAAATTATAAATTAATTTTAAATGTGTACATATGCGTGTGTGTATATGTATGTATGTTATGATACTTTATTGTCAGACCAAGTCTGTTTACAATTATTAAACTATTAAAATACTATTAAACAGCTTATATACGTATATACTTATTATATAATTATATTTAAAAAAATTATAATATAATGATAATATAATTTAGCAGTTTTAAAACTGTATTTAAAATATAATTTTATTTTTTATTTAAATATTTAGTGTATATTTTTTAAGCATTTAGATAATTTAGAGGTATTTTAAATTTTTTTACTTGTATAAATGATATTTTGAAAAAAAAAATTCAAATACATATCAAACATTTTATTTAAATACCTTTTAAATATGCATTCATATTTTTAAAATAATTTTAATTAAAAAAGAAATTAGGAAACTGTAGATCTCATGTTTTCATGCAATCTAAATGGTATTCTAAGGTACTTCAAAGTATACCGTGCTGTACTATTGTCCATAAATAATACAGTAAAGTGTGTTTTTCCTTGGGCTGCTGTCCCAGTCCAGCCTGACGCCTCCCAGCGGAGCTCCTGAGCTCTGGGAGGTTCTCCAGAGTTCAGCTCTGTTTATGTTCACTTCATCATGTTCACACGTTTCTTGTCATTAATCAACTGTCTCACATATTCGGCCCTCCACTTCATGTGATGCAGGCTGTGTTTGTTTAAAGCTTAAGCTCCCTGCGTTTGGCCCGTCCTGCAGAGGAGCTTCCAAACGGAACGTTTCATCTTATTTTATTTGTTATTTCTTCTTGTTGTTCACCTACATAATGTCAATTTAAATATTTGTAAAAATTTTGATATGAATTAAATAAATGTTTTACATTTTTTTAACATATATTTAAATATGTATTAATATTTATAATATTTTTAATTATATTTTAAATATTTTGAGGGGCAGCTTTCAGCTTTCAAATGGGACTTTCATCCAGTGAGTCTTTTATTTAGTCCAATGTAAAGTCATGTTACATTTAATTTGATGTAGTAAATGTTTAAAGAAATATGTTTGCATGTTTATATTAACATAATATTTTTTTAAACCAAGTCATATTGAAGTTTATATTTTTTACTTTTATCTAAAAATCATAGTACACTATACAGTAATGCATTTTTACTTCTAACAATTGTTTAGCTAATATTTTTTTAAAGTATTTTAAGTTCTTTTACATATTATACAATTATATAATATGTACATACAATGTCATAAATACGGCTTTAAAATTCAGCTTCCAACTGTAAATTTACATTTGATTTCACATGTTGAAAATATGCATGTTTATAATTTTTTCAAACTTGCTATAATAAACTTTTATTTATACTTCTAACTGTTGTTCAGCTAATATAATGTACAGTAAATTTTTAATTATTTTACATTTTTTAAATAATTTGTTTTTTAATTTAAATATATTTTAAATATTTTACATATATAGATATTTATTTTTAAAATAAGATTTAATAATATAAATAATAATATTTTCAATATTTCAAGGGGCATATGATGCCATAAATAAGGCAATTTTTGAATTCAGCTTCCAAATGGAACGTTTAATCCAGAGGGATTTTTATACAAAAAAAAAAAATTATTAAAAATGTAAATTTATATTTCACATGCTTAAAGTAAATGTTTATAGAATTTTTTTTTACTTTTATTTAAAGATCATAAATACTTCTAACTGTTGTTCAACTAATATAATGTATACTTTAAATATTTGTAAAATACTTCTTTAATTTAAATATATATTTACAATGTTTTTGACGCATTTAAATATGTATTTTAACTATTTAAATATATTTTAATGATATTTAGAGGATCATATGAAGCAGCTTGCTTCCAATGACGTGTGCAAAAGGCTTTTATTTAGTACTGTACAATGTAAATTTGTATTTCATTTCATTTGATCAGTGTTTCTGGTAATATGTTTACATGTTTCTAAACACGTTTACTTGAATTTAAAGATCATAACTACAAAATACCCTTTTATTTGTTATTTCTAACTGTTGTTCAGCTATTGTTATGAAGTCATTAAATGAAATGCCGATGCACCACCTCCACATATAAAACCCCTGTTGGTTCCACATGACTCTGAGTGGATGAAGGAGCCCTGTGGAGAAAATTAAGCGAAGGATTCTCTGGTTGGCGTGTGTTTCTGCATGAGCTGCAGTGAAAGCAGCGGCAGGGACTCGCAGTTCCACATCATAAAGTTTTAATTGAAATGGGTCTCGTCGGGTCAGTGTGAATGGTGCAGAAGGAATTACTCTTCTAAACGTGTCTGAGACTTTCAGGCAAGACATTGTGTTTTCATGCACTGGTTAATTTTGAGATTTTGGGCTTTCATAAAGTGTTTTTTCAGACTAGTGTAGAGAAAAGATCCAAAATACACTTTTAAGTGTTTCTTGTATTGCACTTAATATATTTGCGTCTGTAGATTTCCATTTGAGTGCATATCTTTACAGACCATTTTCTCAAAATGAGTTTGTTTCTCCATTTCAGCAGCACTTACATACACCAAATTTTATAGTTTTATTTCTTTTTATATTATGCAGGTTTTTACTGAGAGGTTTGTTCATATATCATTCGCTTGATTTTTTGTTTCATTGCACTTTATTTGCATCTGTTAATTTCAATTACAATGCATATCTTTAAAGGCCATTTTATCTAAATGAGTTTGTTTCTCCACTTCGGCAGCACTTACATACACCAAATTTTACAGTTTTGTTCTTGTCTATATTCTGAAGGTTTTTATAGAGGGATTTGTTCATATACCATTTGCTTGATTTTTTTTTTTAATTGAACTTTATCTATTTGCATCTGTTGATTTCAATTACAATACATATTTTTAAAGACCGTTTTCTCAAAATGAGTTTGTTTCTCCGCTTCAGCAGCACTTACATACACCAAATTTTATAGTTGTATTTCTTTTTATTTTATACAGGTTTTTACAGAGGGGTTTGTTCTAGGGGTGTGCGATATATATCATCTGCGATAATATCGTAATTGTTGTATGAAGAATATTAAAAACATTATGAGTCAGCTGTCTTCGGCAGTCCTTAAGGTACCAGCACAATAACACACTCAGCAAAATATCGTCTAATTATCGTTATCGATAAAATCCCATAAAATATCGAGATATAATTTTTTGTCAATACAAACTACCCCTAGTTTGTTCTTATATCATTCGCTTGATTTTTTGTTTCGTTGAACTTTATCTACTTGTGTCTGTTGATTTCAATTACAATGCGTATTTTTAAAGGCCATTTTATCTAAATGAGTTTGTTTCTCCACTTCGGCAGCACTTACATACACCAACTTTTATAGTTTTGTTCTTGTCTATATTCTGAAGTTTTTTATTGAGGGGTTTGTTCATATATTATTCACCTGATTTTATACAACATTTTGTTCGTTAAAAAAAGGTAAAAATGTATTTTTTCTGTCTCTTGACAGTATTTTCTAATTTTCGGGGTAGCAAAAAGAGAAATCCAAATTTCCCTCAGTAAAAACCTTTAACTCTAATATGTCAACAAAATCAAACAAATATTTTGAGCCTGGCTTTACCCAGCGTTCAGATATATGTTCTGGAAATGTGTGCGAATTATTGCATATTTAAATAGATTATGCCTCATTTATGTATTTAAACAACATTTCAGAAACAAATTTGCATTTTTTAATGTAATCAATCAACTGGGGTGTATATATACTCTAAATGATTGCACGATTATGGCCTCTGGTCAGTTTTAACCATGAACAACACAAGTGTGACTCCCAAATGAACAATAGCAGAGGGTTAAGGAATCAGAGATGTGTGACTAAAAGTGTCCTGTTAGTCCTTCGTCACATTCTGGTCTGAAGTTATGATTAACTATAGTATTAATGTTTATGTTTCTTTGTTTTTCCTCCTCAGGCTTTTGGAAATGCCAAAACGGCCCATAACAATAATTCCAGCCGCTTTGGCAAGTTTATTCAAGTCAACTATCAGGAGAGCGGGACTGTGAGAGGGTGAGATGTGCTTTTTCTGTTTAGTCAGCTGTCCTGTTTGCTGTCTACATAGGGCCCTACCTGTGAACGCAGCATCCTAAATGACTGCTTTATAGTCACTTATGTCAATTATATACTCAATAGTCAATTATTTGTGACCCTGGAGCACAAAACCAGTCATAAGGGTCAATTTTTTTAAATTGAGATTTATACATCATCTCAAATCTGGTAAATAAGCTTTCCATTGATGTATGGTTTGTTAGGATCGGACAATATTTGGCTGAGATACAACTATTTGAAAATCTGGAAACTAAGGGAGCAAAAAAATCTAAATATTGAGAAAATCGCCTTTAAAGTTGTCCAAATGAAGTTCTTAGCAATGCATATTACTAATCAAAAATTAAGTTTTGATATATTTACGGTAGGACATTTACAAAATATCTTCATAGAACATGATCTTTACTTAATATCCTAATGATTTTTGGCATAAAAGAAAAATTAATAATTTTGACCCATACAATGTATTTTTGGCTATTGCTACAAATATACCCCAGCGACTTAAGACTGCTTTTGTTCTCCAGGGTCACATTTAGTCAATTTTAAATGGATTAAACTACTTTTATTGATACTTTTTAGGAGTGAATGAATTTAATACTGAATATTATCATCTTATAAGATGATACCGTCCTTTTGGAACAGCCTGCGTTTCCCTTGATGCTCTAATGTAAGGGCTGAACAATAAATCAAAATAAAATCGGAATGTGGCTTAGTGCTATTGTAAAATCGCAGTATTTATATAAATAAATACATTTGTATAAATAAATGTTATTATATATGTGTGTGTGTGTGTGTGTGTGTGTGTGTAAAATATGAAAAAGCTCAATGGTATAATGTCCAAGAATGTAGAAATTAAGACATAAATACTAGCATTGTAATTTTACTGTTGTAATGTAAACTAAAATTATTTGTTATATATATTTTTTTATTAAATACTCAATTTTTGTTATTTTATTAATATATTTTAATGTATTTTGTTTCATGTTTTTATTTCATAATAATAATAATATTGTGATTATTATTTGTAAATGTGGAAATTAAGGCATAAATATTGTTTTGGTTGAAATCAAGGCAGAAATAATATTTTGTTTAATACTCAATTTTTTATTTTACAGTACAATATTAATACAACATATACATACTTAATATATTTTAAAATATTTCTTGATGTGTTTATTTAATAATAATATTCTCTAATATGTCTCTAATCAGTTTTGATTTGAAAACCATCAGTGTTATTCCTGAGTTTTTGTGTGGAGTATTTGTAATGAATATATTTGCTTCTGAAGGAAATTTGAACAGAATCTTTATACGATTTTTTTTTTTTATTGATGATTGATTTCAGAGCTTATGTGGAGAAGTATCTTCTGGAAAAATCACGACTGGTTTATCAGGAGCACAATGAGAGGTACGTTACATGATATTATGTATTTATACCTAAAATGAGTTTGTTATTATTTAAACCACTGGTCAGTGTTAATATTACTCATACTGTATATTATTCTGTCTCACAGGAACTATCATGTGTTTTACTACCTGCTGGCTGGAGCGAGTGAAGAAGAAAGAAAAGCGTTTCATCTCCTCAAACCAGAGGAGTATCATTACCTGAACCAGGTACAGCTGCTCAAACCAGACCTGAAACAGATTTATTGTCAAATATGACACTGCATTTACAGTCTGTCTTTGTTCGTTCCTAATGAAAAGCGCAATATGCAGAAAACATTCTCTCAGCTCATTTTCTGAAAAACATGCCCTGTAATCCCTGGCAACACAAAGAACTGGATGATGCTGAGGCTGTTGCCGGGTGCTGCTGTTGCCATGGTGACAGTAGTCAGCATTGGCGGAGGCGAGATCAGAGTGAACAGACTGCTGGTCACGTGCGGCTGATCTCACTCACTCACACGCACGCTCGCTCGCTCGCTCGCTTGCTCACACACTCACTCACTCACTCACTCACTCACTCACTCACTCACACACACACACACACACAGCATCGGCTGCCGCTTTTGTGCCGTACAAATTCCAGGTTCAGCATTACGCTGATCATGATGAACATTCATGAATATTCAATTAGTGTTTGGACAGTAAAGGTCTTTATAAGGGCCAAAATATCTAGAAATGTGTTTACTATTTTACATTTTTATTATTATTATTATTAATATTATTATTATTATTACTATTTCAATATATTTAGAAAGACTATTGACAGGTTTATGGAAATATATAATAGAATGTAATGATGGAAAAATAATATGCATGAAATATTTTACTTATTTTACACTTATTTAAAAAATATTATTAGTAGAAAATTTCAATATATTTATTAAAAATGTAGAAAAACTTGACATATCTGCTGAAATAATATACACACACAAGATATTTTGACACTTTATTATTATTATTAATAATAATACTCAAAATTAAAAAACAAGACTGTTGAGTGAATTATTTTCCTTTAAATTTGTTTGTTTGCAAACACAAAGTCTCACAATACTGTTTGTGATCATGCTCTACTGTAGGTCTGTTTTAGCATTTAATCACCTAACAAACTATTTATTTATTAGTTGCTTGTAAAGTGTCCAGGGTTGGGAGGGTTACTTTTAAAATGTATTCCGTTACAGTTACAAATTACTTCATTAAAAAAGTATTCAGTATGCAGACATCTAGTGGCTATACAGTTTAGTATTACAGTTTTATTTTTATTATAATTTTTTTTCTTTAACATGTACAAGTACAAATAAATATAGTTTATACACAACATTAAAAAAATGACACCATATACATATTAGTCTATTTTAAAATAAGCCTACATGTCGAAATGCATGTGAAATGCTATCTTTCTTTATTTCATTGACTGATCCGGGGTGTGGGGACTCTCATGTTAATTTCTACAGTTTCAGGCTCATTTTTCGCTAGAAAATTTACAACTGCAGTCATGCACACCATGGAATTTTAAAGCACTAACAAACACTAAAATTTAGCTAACATGATGATTTCCATTCTAGTCGGTCTCATACCTGCAAATGTTCAAGTTGGTTGAGTAGCCTTTGTTAAAGTAAGAGTCTTCATGCATAGCTTACGCTGTACAACTATGTTAATTCCTTTATCCTCTTTGAAAACAAAATAACTGTGAAATTTTCAGAAATTAAAAAGTTTTTCCCAGCGTGAAGCATCGTAATTAATTCATCCCGCGTTTGAGGAGAATAATCGTATGCAGGTGTTATTTGCGCACACACCAGCAGGCGGCTCACGTGAGTCAACATGTGTCAACAGAACCAGGAACTAGAGCCCTGCATTTCAGCCCAGGCCCGACGGGCCCCGGCTTTTATGCGGCCATAGGGCCGGGCTTCGGGCCAATTTTCACGCCATAGTTCAGACGCGGGCTGGGCCTCGGGACTGTTTTAGGCTTCTCCTTATTTTTATATTTTAGACATCCATCAATTAGTGATGAAAATAAAATTGCAGCGCAAAGAGTTCTACATTCAAATGCACGCAATAGGCTTAAGTTTGCCGCAAAGCACCAGCAAAAGTAATTACCATGAATGCGTCAGGGGGAAATAGTAAGGAGATATTTGAATTATTTACTAATAAACTAGTGTTTTCTGAGTCGGTGTAGCAAGGATGAAGTTGTCGATCCTGACTCGCCATCTCTTCATTAGCCGCGCCTTTAGAGAGAAGTGCATCTTTACGGATTATGAT